TGTAATTTTTAGTTGAACATTTTAATGCTTACTAATTGTCAGTTGTAATTATCAGATCACTCCAAAGTAATGCAAGTTTCATTTTATCATTTTGAAAGGAGAATTACGGGAAGCTGGTCGCAACGCATGAATTAGTATGATTAAAATATGCAGAAGCTTCCTTTTCCGCTTCAAATATTAATATGCCAATCGCTTTTACTAATATTAATGCTTAAATTTCAGAAACCAGCAAACGTGCGGTAATTTTATTAATGTAAAAACATCAAAGTATTATAAAATTCAAATATTACGATACTTCGCCGTGCTTCACGCAACTTTTGCTTATCCTCTAATGTCTCCAAAATCTTCCGCAAATAATGTTGCTCGCATGAAGTCGCGTTTTGGACGACTGCGTGTCATCGGGCCTGATTGTGACGCGGGAATTCCGGAGATCGACGCGATTCCTTGCACATCTGGATGACCTGCCCCCAGAATCTCGAGGGGTCGACCCTTCGGAGTTTTATTTACGCGGTGCGCTGCGATCCCGCGTTTCGACAGCGGCGGCAATAAGCGTTTACGCCTGTCCAATGAAGCGGAATCGCGACACGCCGCGCCGCCTCGGCCATTACCCTAGTATCGCGCCACCGCATTATAGTCGTCGATAAGTTCAGCGGACTAATCGCTCGATCTCGGTGTACCTGTGTGTACATAATCGATTAAGATAGTGATTAATTCAGTTATCGCGCCGGAGACAGCACCGGGTTACTATAGCGATCGGGCGCGGACGCGGGCGCGGGCGCGCATGCGACGCGCGACGGGGAAGGACGGTGCCACAAAGCCGGGTAAAAATCGGTGAATTAATTAGCGACCGTCCTGTACACGGATCTTATCTCGCCTCTGTTTCTCGTGAACGGGACAGAAATTAAAGCGATTTTTAGAGTGTGAAAATTATTGGGTTGCCACGAACACGCCTGGGAGCTCGTTCGCCGCGCGAGATACTGGCTAACCGGGACGTAATTCATATTTAATAGACAATATATATTTTTCGTCGACCGCTTATCGCGGAAATCTCGGGAACTTTTCAGCGGAGCAATGAGTTACGGGCGAATTCGCGCGGCTGCGTTTTCTCGTGCACTTCGACGCCGGGTTTTGACATTTTCATCGACTCTCTCCGGTCGAATTCATGCATGGTAATATCCAGTCGGCGATCGGGATTATTACTGCAGCGACAGTAAAATATGTTCGAACACATTGAATTTCTGATTTTCGTCAAGTTGCCGATAGTTCGGCTAATATAATTGGGTAAAAACAAGCTGTACGACGATAACTGTTGCTTCGTTCTTTTGAAAAATTGATGTATATGAACTTGATCAATCTATGTTATACAATGTTAAAGATGGGCCATCTGTTGGTCTCGGTTTAAAATTGTTAAAAAAGATCGTTTAATATTTTCCACAGTTTTTGGATTTAGTAAAAACAGTAAACCTATCGATTAATTATACATATATATTATTATTAATGTATATATTATATATATTATTAATTATATATTTTTCTTAAGTGATTGATTCATTTTTTCATAATTAATCGACAGGTTAATTGTTTTGAAAAAAGCAAAGACTTCGAATAATATTAAACGGTTTCTTTTATAGTAATTTTAAAAAGAAACCAACAAGTGAGCTATGAAAAATATAGTGATCCTATGAAAATATATAAAAAAAACGTTACTTGACTCCAATTTGCGTTTGAAAAGATGTCTGAATATTATCGTTACTCACTGTGTATATACATATTTACTTACTTATGTGCTTACATTTACTCGAATGCTTTAATTGATTGACAAAAAATAACGTGAACGGAATGACATTTATATTTAACAGGATGTTACTAAAAACCTGCATCACGAGTCAGACTCATTAAAGTGCAGCAAAGGTTTAACCCCTTGCACTATGATTCATTCCTTTCACAGCAATGGTGATCAGCACTTCTTCGTCCTTAATAATTTCACTGATAGAATAAAACAATTTTTGCTTCTTGCATATCTTAAAATTTACTTTCTTTCGTAGATTCTGATAACAGAATAATCAAATTTTCTTTCGATTTAGAAGAAACGAATAATATTAATAGTAGATTATGTTAACAAACCCGCCATTCTGTTATAGTGCAAAGGTTTGATACTCGCAGCTCGGGTCCATTTGGACCCAGCGTAGAAATATTGTTATTTGACTACGTAGTTTCTGACAATTAATTCAAATGTTCAATATTTCATTAAGGTCGATAGAAAAACCAACATATCTAGAAGAAGTACCTTAAAAAATATGTTGCGAAGAATTGATAACGATAAATGGTCCTGAATAAACTCAGTTATATTTTTATCAAACTGGCGTATTTTTCGCACGAGCGTCGTTCAGTATACTATAACGTAAACTATATTAAGTGTGTATAGTAAATACAGGAAGGGTAGAAAATTCTCTCACAAAAAACACAGACTTGTACGGTTTTATACAGCGTCCCACAGCATAGTTGCGGATCACGGATTAACAAAACTCGCGGGAGATTTCTGGAGTAAATAGAAACTATTTCGCAGGATTTCTTCCGCGAAAACGCGGGCAAGAGCTGGTAATTCCGAGTGCAGCGACCGTTTCAACTTCCTCCGCGCGACGCGACGACAGTTTTTGCGCGGTCCGCGACCATACCAGCCTCGCGGCGCGCGTTATGGTTGTGTATGACCGACGATCATGCGGCGCTCGTCTGTGCGAACCGCGCGTCCTGTCCAGAGATTTCAACGCGCGCGAGGGAAAGTATCGGTTCGAAGAATCTCGGGAGCGGTACGCTGAAATCGTAAATTGAAGAAGTCTCGCAAGCGAGCCGGAATAACCCGCGCGCCGTTCCCGGCCGCGCTCGCGCGACTTTCTCACTCGCGCGCTCAATCCTCGGCCCCGGCTCCTATTTCGGAGCCGAGAATCCGCTCCGGCCGCAGACGCGGCGCCGAGCCGTGCGGTTTTTCTTTTTCCCGCGAGTTTCCGCGAGAAGTGTTCTAACTGTGAATTACACGCGCGCTCGACCCAGTTCGAACCGCGCAAGGACGACGATAAACCGAACGGCCATTTTTTCGGTTTCGTCCACACGCCACCAATTACGCCTCGATTACCGGCTAATTGCATAATGGCGGTGCCGGCCGGTGTATTGACCGTTTTCTTATTGTTTTTGTAATTGATCGCCGATCACCGTTCCGTCTCGCGTGACCGTACCTCGTTTTCGGCTGCTCGATTGTCTTCGACGGACTGTTGCGCAATCACGGCTGTGGGTTAATTAGATTTGTATTGTATCCGTTTTCGTGGTTTCTTGCCACTTTCGAGGCTGATTATTAGGTCGTGGATCTTTATGAGAAATCAAAATTTTTTCAATGATTTTTGAGGAAGAGAAGTCACCAGTTCTGCGTTGGTCACGTATGGTGATACTAATTTTTTACTAGTTTCCTAAATTGATTTTTATTGCAATCTATTCGCATAAACTGAATTTTACTAGCACGTTTACGACACTATGATACATTTTAATTTTTTAGTTTTATTTGCATTAATCGAACTTTGGGTTTAATTTTCGGTACTTGACATGTGAAATAAGAATTTATTATTTCTTTTAATGATTTAAGTAAATTTGAAGGATTGGGAAGACATTCTTGAATTGTTTAATGTCTACATTGTTCGTGTCTCATTGTGGTTGCAGCTATAGTAATTTTATTTATTTCATGCTCTTATGCGCGCATCTCTCTTAGCATACGACGCGAGGTCGTTCCTCGTACATCTTAAATTTTTACGCTTCGACTTTTAGGCAACTCTGAGCGAAAATCAAATTTAAAAAGCTATAATTCTTCGTATGAACAGCTCGCACTGAAAAGGTGCAAATCGTTTTCCATAAATGCGCTAGTAAATCTTCATGATTAGCAAACTTCGGAAGACCGTAACTCGCGAAAGTATAAAACGTTGTTCCCAGTGCTCGAGTATAAGGCGCTGTATGAATGTGCGAGAATTGTCCAGTTTGCGATACGTGTATAACGCAAACAGTGGAATTGGCGAAATTGAAAGAAGGAGCGCCGATCAACCTGCCGTTATAACTGTCAAATTTGATTATCGACATGACGCAATCAATTTATCGGTTGGCCGAGTTCCGGCGTGCACGAAACACTGGCATAATTCATACGGCACCCCCGTTAATTGCGCAACCGCTTTCATTCGTCGCACCAATTCATACAACCGGCTCCGGTGCCCGGACACAACGGAGACCGGGCCACTTTGGTCATCGTTAAGTGGCGCGAGACACGTTCCATTGCCCTTTAATAACGTTATCGTGATATACGGTGCAGATACGGATGTACGGTGTGCACGTGTGCAACAAACCTGCCGACGATAAATTAATTTTTGCGAACGTGTACGACTCGACCGGGCCGCGTGACCGTTCGTTCCGTGCGCGAACCTGAAATTCAACGGTGTGTCCCTTCTTCGAATTGCTCGAAATATCCTTCGGAATTGGGTTTGCAATATTTTCATCAAATATTTCTCAAATCTAGATGCTGTTTTCACGTACCAACGTTAATGTGCAAAACGTGGAGACACGCAGTGGGTAAAAAAGTATTCGGACACCTTTCGAAACGGTGTAACTTTTTTAAAACTGGACTAAAAGACTTGAATTTTTGTTTACTCTACCAGACAATAATTAAAATACTTCTTGTTAATGTTGCTATTGCTTGGTACGACAACAAAGAATAGATAAAACTCAGGCTTCTTCACTGTTTTATCTGAGCCTGTAACGAAAATTTAAACAACTAGTTCTGCAGATCTCGGTCATCGGAAAAATTTAAAAAAAAAATCAAAAAACAAACGAATGTTTTTATGTTCTTCCGAAGTTTATACAGTTTCACAAATCACGCGCACAATTTCGTTATGGGGGCATGAAATCAGCGGTTCAATCAGAATTAAAAGAGAAATTTTATTTATTAACGGATGAAATTACTTGTGTTTCAGGTGGAAGCTCCTCGTGCTCTTAAATGGAAGTTCATATTTCATCGACACCTGACAACAGCTTAAGATGAACTGAAAGAAGCGCGATTTACGGTGATTCAAGGTATTTGTCTGACTCCTTTAGAGACGATAATAAACATTAATAATGTGCTCGGTTGTCTCTGCGCAACCTCGTTCTGTCTTTACTATATATATATATAAGTAAAAATTACTCGTTAAGATCGCCGTGGAATTCCAAGCTACGATAATCAATTCGTTGCAAATTAGAAACGCGTTCCACGGTTCTCACTGTAAATATTTGTAATATATCCGAGATAATGTACAAGGTGAGTCATTTTACTCTTTCACCTTAATATTCCTTGTAAACTAGTTGTTCGATATAAAGAAACGCACGCGCGGCAACGATTAATTATTTGCTATTTGCCATTTATTTTCATCAAAATATGAGGTTCGTTCGAAAGTCTATTAAATATAGAATGAAAAATTATTAAGCTGCAAGGGTTCGGAAATTAATGTTGATCGAGACTTTCTTCAGCTGATTTTCAATACATAATTCATTTTAATTCTAGTAGTAATTAATAGGTATTTTTTTAAATTCTTCATTCAATAGACTTTCGAATTGCACGATTAATTGAAATCAATTAAAATTAAATAATTAATTAAAACCTTCATGATTTTGATGAATCTTTCGTGGTGAAGATAGCAAACAAAAAAAATTGGTTATTGCCGTGTATGCTCCTCCTTTATGAAACATTTTTTTTTATAGAACGCGCAGTTTACAAGAAAAATCAAGACGAAAGAGTTAATTGACTCACCCTGCATCTATACTACCTACCTAGATAATTTTATCATTATTTTAATGGGTTGCAATAAACCTGGAACCGTTTGTCCAGTCTAAACGAAGAGACAATTATCTGCATAATGCTAGAGCACAGGTTCTTTACAGGACCTCATTAAGGAACGCGAATCATTGTTTTCTGAAAGAAAACCGTCTTCATCCTGAACATTAACCGGAGAATAATCGCGGTTGCTTCGAGTCGCCGGCATTCTCCGCGCATCTGCCTTTACGTTAAGTTTCAATATACGCATCCGCGAAGCGTAATCATTAAATAGGCCGCCATGACGAGCGTAATAAAGTGTACGAGTAATCAATTGCGCGCGGCAGCGCCTTATAATAGGCGAGCATCGTTCGCGTAATGAGAAAAGAAAGCGTGGGCTGATGCTTTTACCCTCCGGCTATATTTGATTAATCCCACGCGAGTCAATTAAAGAAACGCATAGAAAAGTTTCGACAACCTTGCGTTGTTGCGGTCTAGACGCGCGGAGTCTATGCAAATGGCCGTCGGCAGTTAACTTCGCCGACTGCAGGATTCTGCATTTCTACCAGAAATCGCCGACGGAAATTACGGCGACGCGTACCTGCCACTGTTCGCCATCGAAATAAGAGAAAGTGGAACTCGACTTTGGATCCAAATCCTCTTGAATCGCTATTTTTCTGTGTCCGGAGAAATTCGTGGAAGATGCGAGCGAAAAAGGTATTTTTATTCGATCGGGGAATTCTTTTAATTGTAGAAAAGATACTTGACGATCCTCGAGAAAATAAAACGGTCGTAAAACTTTTTATCTCGCTGTAACCGGATTCGTGATCGCGAATTCTACGCGAAACAACCGACGATTATAAAATGTTCTAATTATGTACATGGCTAGAATTTAACAAATGAATACGAATTTCAATTTGTGTTCGCAGCACGGCGAAATACAGAAACGTAATCGCAACCATTAGTCTCTTGTGTATATTTTCTCTTATGTTTTACAGTCCACGGAATGACGTGCGGATGACTAATGGCCGCGAACTATGTTTTTCTATTTCACTTTCCATTTTATGAAATATAAAATTTGTATTACAAATAGGCTGGCCCCGTGAATGTGATTTCTCTGAGTCAAACAAATGGGCAGACCTGTTAACTGGCTTTAAACTACATCGCTCACTCACTTTGGCACCGTACACGTCGTGCTATTTTCAGTCGAGCAAACGCCGGTGACATGACAGGAGCATTTTGGTTTGACGCTGCTCGAAAACTATCGCCGATATCAATCACGCACGTTCTTAAATGTGATCATACAACTACGGCGTCTTAATGAATAAAGCAAATCCATTTCTTATCTGTTTTCTATGAAAACATTGTGCGCTACAAGTATTCCATGTTTCTTTTTCGGTTATGATTTTAGTTAATTTTTGTTTGTGAGTTAAATATGCAGTATTGTTTGTAATTAAACTGCGCAGATTTATTTGTTAATGTTATTTGCACGTTTTGAAATAGAAGAGAGCGTATGAATTCTCAAACATTAATGACGTTTCTGTCTTTTTCTTTTTAGTATGAGGAATTTTCTAGTTGATAAATTGAACCTGTTTCTCATTCTAGTATATAAAATAATGTTGAAACAATGAGATTTGCATCTGCAGTTTTATTACATCAGAAATATAAATCTAATCTTAAAACGGACGCAAATAAGAGTCTTTGATTTGTTCGATTGCTTTGTAAAAATAATATTCAACAAATAAAATGATAGCACTTATTTAGTTCTTTTCTTTGTTGGATTACCTTCAATCTACTGAAATTGTCAACTAAAAACATTATCGAATTTCAGTCCAGAAAATAAAAACTCGCTGGAATAATCGCCATCGACTTATAATCCTGAAGGATTATAAGGTATGAACCGGTGCGCGCGCGCGCAACGCGCCATGTTCGGTGATTTCAACGCCTGAGCAAGTGACGAGCACGTTGCATCGCGTTGCATCGCGTGCGGCTTGTCCAATGCAACACAGCGCGACGCACGGTGCACGATTTTTCCTCTAAATAGGACAATAATCGCAACAAAACCTATGCACATTTCCATATAAAATCTTTTTAAAGAATTTAATTTGTAGGTGGCTCCTACTTATCAGTTACGTGATTTTTCTCTGAGCATCTTCGTTGAGGTGAATGAGGGAACGCGCCTAATTTTCAAACGATCAACATTACGGCCACATAAATCAATATATAATATATAATAAATGTACAATATCTTTATAAATAATTAATATTGATAAAAATGGGAAAATATGGATTGGCTTATTTTTGCGATGCTGTGTGGTTTAACGCGTAACGTATCATAAACAAAAGTCCAACTATATATGGAGTTAGATAAATCACAACTTTGCTGGAATATTTCAAGTTCTGGAACATTTCAGTTTCAACGTAAAAAATCACCGCTTTATCTCATTTCTATGAAAAGTCCTTTGTTTTTGACCGTAGTTTGCAAGTACAAGCCTGTACACGTTTCTCGTTCTGTTCGTTTTCTCTCCCCTCGGCTTTCTTTCTGGTCTTCCCTTCCGTTTCGTTGTGCCGGCCAATCGATCGTACAGCCACAAAACGTTAATAAATATTTATTGGTCGCCGTGAGGCATCGCGGACAGCAGAAAGAATGATTTCGCGTGCGATGCCCATTTAAAATGCTAATACCGGTACGCGGAATCGCGGCGCAGCCAGGCAGGCGAAAAATTCATAAGTAAAAAGCTCGGGCCCGGCTTGCCGGACTCGCTCGTACGTTAATTATTGTAATTGATTATTAAAAACCGCCGTAAAACCGGCCTGTATATTCCCCGTTTCTGCGTGGAGCCGCAGTGAAAACGTTCGCGCGCCTCGATTAATCTTCCATCGCAACGGTAAACGTGGTTTATGATCCACGAATAGATTTTATTCGGCAGTCGACCGGCTCGTACAGCTTCTTCTTTTTTCCCGTCATATTTCAGATTTCATTGCGCACGCCTTGTTCGACGATCGGGACTTACTTACTTAGGGGACTGTAAACGTTACGATCGTCCGTGTAGCTCGAACGACGGGAAAACTAACATTTCTTCGGGCTACACTCGTCGCGGCAAGTACGTCGACAGCATTTCAAGTGAAATAACTTTTTCGAACGTTCGTTAGAAACGACTTGAATCTTTTTGAGATTACTTTGACAGAGAATAAGTAAGAAAAATTTTGTTAGGCTGCAAAATTGGTTGGGACGATACAAAAAATTGAAAATCTAAGTTTTTCAACTTCCTCATCCGAGTCCGCAACGAAAATTTAAAAGAGATCCCTTTCGTCGAAGGCATCGATAAAAATTATTGGAAAAGGTAACAATGAAATACATTATATTTCTTATATTAAAGAAAAAGCGCGCTACATTCGACGGTCTGCGTGTGCACCGTCGGTTGCCCATAGCGTTCAAATGTCCTGGGACTTATCGACATAAAAATCTGAACGGCGCGATCGGGCTGCCTGGGACTCGAACGGTTAAACTCGCGCGACATCGATTCGTGCCCGCGAAACGCGTTAAATTAATTTACCGTTCTTTTTCAGCCGCGTTTTCTTTTTTTGCCGCTGGACGGAGCTAATTGTAAGCGTTTAGCGTTCGGATCGGGAGCCCTGAAAGAGAAGTCCGGGGCCCGATCCCCGCGAGCGCGCGAGCGTCTGACCCAGATTTTTCTTTTTGCCCGCTCGGCTAGATTGCCGATAATGATTAAATCGCCTCGCTAGTTTCGTGGAACAGTCAGCGGCCACAAAGACAGTCTATCCTTAGCAACCAGGTCTCCCGGCACCCATACACACGTACCTTAACGATTGTTGGTTGCACAGAGGCCCCCGTGTACAGGGCAGTTACTTGCACGAGCCTAAGCCGTTGGCTGGCATAGGTGCGACGCGACGGTGTGCTGTTGGACTCGGAAAGATCACGCAGCCTTCGTAATCCGTGCTCCACGCCGGCCGTATAACGATCGTAATCTCCTACGAAAAGAAAAACCTCATCGAAGGAAGCATTTCGCCCGCTACCACGCCGGCTGACCGCTGTAATCGTGTGGCGGGCAGAGAACCAATACAGTGTTGCTACACTCGCGCGCACAGCAGAGAAACGAGCGTGTACACGAAAGTTATTATTGCGAGGGTTTTCTTCGAATTCACAAAATTTACGCCTGGACACGTTATTTAACCGAATATCAATAACAAAAATTCCCACGAAGTCGATGAATTAATGAAACCGAAACTGAAAAGTGAAAATTATAGCCATAGGAATTATTCA